TGGCATATGCTACAGGATGCCAAGCACTATCGCTTTCCCCCTGTTGGAGAAGGACGCCTGCTATTGCAAAATCACTTGTAACCTGGCATGTTTGCCAGTGATCTCCTCTAACGGCCGCGATATAGTAGAGTAGTGCTCAATAAATCTTCTAAAGTAGTTCGCAAAACCAAGGAACTGTCTCACCTCCGTAACTGTCGTCGGTGGCTGCCATTCCCTCACTGCTTTAAGCTTCTTTGGATCTGGAGCGATACATTCACCGTCGATGCGGTGCCCTAGCAACAGAACATCCTTGACACCAAACTCACATTTCGACTGCTTACAGAATAGCTTATTTTTCCGGAGCGTCTCAAGAACTGTCTGGATATGTTCAAGATGATCTTGCCAGGATTTGCTGAGGATCAGAGTATCATCCAGAAACACTACCACAAACCGCGGTAAGTGCGGTTGGAGAATACTGTTCATCAGTGACTGAAACGTGGCAGGGGCGTTAGTTAATCCAAAGCCCATGACCCGGAACTGGAAATGACCGAAGGGAGTATTGATAGCCGTCTTAGGTACATCTTCCTGACGGATTCTAAGCTGATTGTATCCCGAGCGTAAATCCAGCTTACTTAAGTATGAGCTACCTTGAATGGTATCAAACAGGTCATCAATGTTTGGGAGGCAAGCTTTGTTTTTGATGGTGATCCTGTTCAAATTCCGCCAATCACAAACCATGCGCAATGAGCCATCAGACTTTTTAACGAAAAAGACTGGGGCACCGTATGGTGACTTGCTGGGTTCGATGAAGCCCTTGCGGAGGAGTTCCGTGAGCTGGGCTTGCAATTCGTCCATCTCGGGTCTGGGGAGACGGTAGGCAGCCCGTGATGGAGGAACAGCACCCTCCTCAGTCACAATCTCATGGTCGACATCCCTCTCTGGCGGAAGCTCAGTCGGCAGGTCGTCTGGAAAGATGTCCGAGTACCGCCGCAGAAGGTTAGCCAGCTGCTCTTGATGATCTGGGTGTTGTCTGGCGGCTGATGGCTTGCTGTCCTCCTCCTCGTCGTCAGTAGCGTTGACCCGCGCCAGGATTCCCTGCGCGCCTTTCCTCAACTCGCGGCGAGCCTGGGAACCAGATATGAGCATGCTCTCAATTGGCGGCGACTCCTGATGCTCCGTATCACTATTTTGGCCGGAAGGGGGTTTAGCAACGAGCGGCTCTCCGTTCAGTTTGACTTCGTTGGTCTGAAAGTTGATATCCGGATTGTGTCTGGTCAGCCATGGCTTGCCCAGGATAGCATCATAGCGGCTCAACGGAAAAACTGTGAAAGATTGGGTGTCACTGAAGTCTTTCACGATAACCTTTACTGGACCGGTCCTCTGCAGTCCCGATGATGTCGATGAGCCATCAGCCAGGGTTACCTTCAGTGTTTCGTCCTTGCTCTCCGTAACAAGGCCGTTTCTTTGCACGAAAGCTTCCGATTTGAAGTCGTGCGTCGATCCCGAGTCAATAAGCATAATTGCCCGGCGGCCGTTGATCCTGCCCTCAACACGGAGAAGGTCATGCTCCAAAGGAAGCTCCGTGTCCTGTACTGCGAGATCAACATTGCTGACATGGGATTCCTGTTCGGCAACATCTTCCGAATCAGCTTGCAGCGTCGGTTCTTCCAGCTCTAGTACGCTGTAACGGTTGCGTATGTCAACCGGGTAACCGTTGGGTGCTTTCCGCTTGGTCGCCAGCGAGCGCACGCCATTCTTCACTGGCGACCAGCGTTTGGGTGTTAATTGCTGGGACAATCCCGAGCTAGGTGACCTGGCTTCCGACAAGCAAAGCATCCACCCTGCCGACTCAGGTGACGCCTCTCCTCCGGTGTTAGCCTTTAGGGTCGTACGGGCAGACTTCGGTGCTGAATCGGGTTCGGCTGTTGGTCCGCCGTTTGCGCTGACCTGATCGCTTGGCTCAGATCAGTGGGGTGCTCTCGCAGCACCCGGGTCTTGACAGATGGGTGCAGTCCATTTACAAACAGCAGTCGATCTCAGGCACTTGTAGGCTTAGGCGTGAGAACTCGGTGACATAGCTCTCTAAGCTTGAGTGCTGCCTGACAGCGAAGAGATCCAGGCGCACCCGCTCTTGATGATGCAACGGACCGTACACCTTGGCGAGGGCTTCACGCAGCGCTGGCCACGTCGAGAACTCCACACCCGTATCCAACGATGCGATAAGCCATAGCTTGGCGTTGCCGCTCAGGAAGCCCGCTGCGTAATCCACCATCACCGATGAGTCGGTGATTCCCAGTGACCAAATCGCCAGCTCAATGAAGAAAGCCCACTCCTTGAACTGCGAGAGCTTGCCATCGAAGATCGGCGGCTCCTTAGCGTGCCGAGGCTTCCCGGACGAATGAGCGGGCGGCACAGGGAGCGGTTGTTGTCGGTTGCTCAGACGGGCGCTGACTTGGCGACTGGCTTCACGGACCTCGCTGGCCAACCTGAATAGCAACACAGAAAGAACAAGGATCGCCACGACAATGGCGAGCTCCAAGAACACCATGTTAACCATCCTTTGCTACCAGTGTAACCGTTTGAAGGTATTCTTGGAAAAGACAATGCTTGCTCAAAGCAACACAACTGATAAAGGGCACTTCGTGCCCTAAGGTGATAACGCGAGTGCTGAAAGGATAGGGAAAGGTGCAAGATACAGAGCTAGAGGGCAGATAAGGTTAGCGCTAACAGGGAACTGTTTCAGAGAGAATGGTTAGCAGTGTTGTTCTTGGTCTGCATCTCCTTCCCCGCAAGGCACCAGAAGCAGCAAAATCGAGAGCGACCTGTGGCGGTGCCCCTGATGGCATCCGGAGCACATGCCCCAGGAAGCTCCATCGCCTCGCCGCGATCTCCTTGGAGATGGGTTGGGTGCGACAGCCGTTGTAGAGTTATGTGTTTTTGATTATATTTGTACGGAGTAGGGAGTGGAGGTGACGGCGGTGGCAAACGTCCAGAGACGTTCTTAGTGACTCAGTGAGGCCCCAGGTAGCGCAGTTGTAAAGCAAAATGCTTAGAATGTAGCAATTGTACAGCCTCAGCTTCAACGTTAGGGAGATCCCTGATGACTGTAGAAGGCTTTGCATCCGGCCAAATGTCTGCGATGCCAGAACCATTCGGTGTTTGATGTCCTCGGCAGTACCAGCTCTCGATCCAATCTACTTTGCCATCCGCCATTCTTCTTTCCCTCTTTTTTCCAGGTCTGCATCGAGGTAGAAGTGGGTCCGTTCAGTTTTCGCGCCGTTCACCATCAATTGGTGTTCTGGCATTTTCAGCACGCATACGTCATGGGTTTGTTCAAGATTTTGGTCATTTTCATCTAGGAAGTAAAGATCATCTGCGTACTGAAGTTCAGGGATAGACGGTGCTAGGCCTGTACTTTCCCTTCAGAACTGATGTCTCAGCTACTGCAGAACATGTTCAAAGTAGCACGTAAACAGGACAGGGCTCAGGCAATCTCCCTGTGGTGTGCCAATGCCAGATTGAAAGGCGTCTGCAGTCTGTCCGCATTTTCGAACACTGAGCGTTGTGCCCACAAGCAGCGTTGAGACCATGGCTCGAGCATCAGGTACGCCAGGCGCTGCAGTGAGGATTGATTCAAGCAGGCTGGGTAAAGGTATAGTTTAGGGTCTCCAATTATTTTAGTGGGTCAGCATGCTCTACAGAGTCCCAGGCATGCACACTACACATAGCCATAGGCCTTGGCCACAACTGACATCGAATACGATGTGGATGGACAACCACTGGTGTATGCAAAATCACCTTACGATGCGAACGAAGACGGCGCAAAGGACCATGAAAATCGCCTGAGTTTGAAGCTCGGTGATGCCGTGCGTGTCTTGAACACCTCCATGGGCAAGGGATGGTGGTGGGTAGAAGTCGATGGCTAGTCTGGCTACGTTCCATCATCATTCCTTGGCACTGAGGAGGACCTGCGCGGCGCGGAGGAAGCCTCCTGGCAGAACGACGAATATTTTGACTTCTACCCACCACCATCCCTTGCCCATGGAGGTCTTCAAGACACGCACGGCATCACCGAGCTTCAAACTCAGGCGATTTTCATGGTCCTTTGCGCCGTCTTCGTTCGCATCGTAAGGTGATTTTGCATACACCAGTGGTTGTCCATCCACATCGTATTCGATGTCAGTTGTGGCCAAGGCCTATGGCTATGTGTAATGACTATGTGCATGCCTGGGACTCTGTAGAGCATGCCGATCCACTAAAATAATTTGGGACCCTAAACTATACCTTTACCGCGGGCTGTTTCTATGCTGAGTGTCAAAGTCCTTGGAGAGGTCGATGTATAAACAATTAAAATGAAACAATTCCAGAACGTTTTCGTCAACAAATAACACTGAACCAGGAATCGTCAAACAACTTACGACAATCCGGACTGGACACCAAATGCTTGTAGATGGCAGACTTGCTCTTGTCGATGTCGAACTCCTCCTCGTCAGTATCACTCTCATCCTCCACTTCCTGTTTGTTGACAAAAACGTTCTGGAATTGTTTCATTTTAATTGTTTATACATGGTTATGAGTGCACAATTGATATTTTTCATTGCTACTCCAAAGGAGAATTCGAAATAAAAAAAATTTCCCGGCATTTCCAGGCGGTCACTATGGATACATTGACGCGTGCAACGTTTTCCCAGCACCGTGTGAACTGGATCACGGTTTGCAAGTGATTATCTTGGTCACGCACGTGCATGTGCTTGCACGTCGTGTAAATAGCCTATAAATCAACATAATAATGCTTTGTGACATGGAAAATTGTGGGCACAAGCTATGTGATCGAGTCCTCCAACTAAACCAGATTTTGATTTTCATGCCGTGGAATTAAATTTCTGGTTACTACTTTTCAGTTTTGTGCTAGAATGTGCACGTCTGACTACTCAAAATCTTGTCCAGTTGGTAGACTCGATGGCATGACTTGTGCCCACATTTTTTATTTGGCTCATCATCTGAATATGGCTTTGCCTTACCTTTACCTTCTTCTATGGGGTGATAGGCAATCTTTGTTTGCCAGTGTTGGAATCCATCAGGGTCCAGCCAGGACACCGAGCATGTGACATTCCGCGATAGCGCCCGGAGCACGTTGAGCTGTGTGGTGGGCACGAACAGAGTGCTGGACCAGCGCATGCCTGCACTCACCACCTCACTGGCCGTGCTCTTCCAGCACCACTGCACGTCACCACTATCTGCTGCTGGTAGTCGTGCCTCCAAGTAGCAGTGCATGTCCAGACCATCGTCGGTGTGGTTCAGCCGCACGCCTAGAGTGATGTTTGGATCCAAGGAAGGCTCTGCAAGAATGTGCGTAATACCAGCAAGGCATGTGCACGGTCACTCAGTTACTATGAGAGGGTGGCAGGGGATGACTGTAGTTCCCCCATTGCAAGTCGCACCCCGATTATTGTTTTGATACATTTAATTCAGTAGTTATCATGCTCGATTGTAAGTAACACCCCCTTTGTTGGCCCTGAACATAAGGGTAAAAAGGTGCACTAACCCTCCTCTGAAGGTACAAAAGCCACGGCCTCAGTGTCTCCCATTATGCCATTCCAGTCTCTCCACTGAGATCGGCACAGCACGCTGCCCTGGGCCTCGCGAAGGTCGTGTACTTGTTTGTGCGAGAGCTGGAGCAGTGACGATAACCCATAGCTGGTCAGGAGGGGTTGCTCGCTAGCCGATTCTTCAAGTGCACTGCTTCCATTCGTGAACCATTTCCAGGTGACTGGCCAGTAGACTTCATGACTCAACTCACATCGAATCGCTCTGCTCGATAGCCGCTCAACATCAATCGAAACGTTTTCGTGAACTATGAAGGTTTCTGCACAGCAAAAAACAAACAAACAAACAGAGAGGTTGATCACAGCTGATAATATGCCAATCGACTTGGATCATTTTCCAAACAATTTCAAGAATTCATTTTCCCAACTCGACCGTATTGTACGGAAAAAATCATATTGTAAGTGGATGTCACTGTCTTCTCACCTGATTCAAGTGTGATCACCACCTGACTAGGCCCATTGCCGAGAACACGATTGAGAATGCTAAATGTGTAGTTGCCAGCAAGGTGATCACCATCCGACGGTGTTCCCAGCGGTGAGACGAGCTTCCCCGTCACCGTTGCCGTGTACAGGACGCTCTTGCTCACGGTGTACTCCAGAAGGATCGTTGAGTAGTTATCTAGGCGAACGCTGACATTGGATTGTGAGTCTGGGTGGAGACGGTATGTGAAGTCGATTCCATCGCCGATTGGCAGTGTATCTGGCAGCGTCACTTGAATCTCGGGCAGGGGAAAGCCTGTTATGGCCACATCAGCTAGGATCACTGTGGTGTTGATTTCCACTAGAAGCAGTTCCTTGTTGCTGGTAATTGTCTGCGGGTCTGTGAATAGAAGGGAATGGCATGCAAACCAGGAGTAAGACATGCAGAAGAGAACGTTTCATTTACAACACTGCACTTGCCCAGCCTAGTACCAACATCTTAGCAAGCGGGTCACTTGACAGCCATTGTTCTGAAGGGGTGCTCTTTATCAGTTAGCTGGAATTACATGCCTTCTCAGAGTAGCCGTCTGATTTGCCATGTCACGATGCCTTTCTCTACACCTTATTATCGAGGCTCAATAATGAACTTCTACTCATTGTAATGTACTGGTGGCTGTACTTACATAATTGAATCAGCTTCACTGACGCTTGAAATAGGGTGCCGTGCTGTCGCACACGGCAGGCGTACGTGGAGCCGCTGATGCCATCCTCAGGGCCTTGCACGGACACGACAGCGGACTGTGCCAGGCAGTCGGTACATGTTGTGTTACGTACTGCTGCCAGTTCCCGCTGGGTCAGAGACGGCTTGATGGCAGTATTGTCCCGCCATAGTTCAATGTCTGTAGCATTGCCAGCTCGCATGTTGCAAAGCAGCACGGCTGAACTGCCAACGTTGGGTGGAACGAAATATGTTCGCACACCGCCAACCTCTCGTTGGAGCACCTTTGCTGCCGGCAAGAACACTTTCATGTCTGGTCTCGAAACTGAACAGGTGCGTACGCATGCAAATAACACAGAAACACACGAACACACACATGCACACACACACACACACACACACACACACACACACACACACTTACACTCACTCACTTATACACACTCACTTACACACACACACACACACACACACACACACACACACACACAGATGTACACACACACACAAACAAAAGCATGCGTGAATGTCAACACGGAGATCAACGTACATACATTCAGTGATTAGACAGGGGCGGTGGCAAGACAGTCCGAGGTATAACTCATTGGAGGTTGGGCAGTGCTCCAACGAGAGTATTTTTTTGAAGCTCTCATGACCTACTAGCAAGCGCAGTTTAGAGTTTGCATCAGTACTCCGGAACGAATCAAGCAAAACCGGACGTGATGACACGGGAGATGGTGGCTTCTGGTGCATGAGTACGAGTACAGGGCGTGATAGTCAGGCCACAGAATGAAGGCAACTCGCCACACACTGCCCCTTAGACAAAGCTGCACACTAGCAGCACGCCACGCACTGCCACATAGACACAGCTGCATACTCTTCTTTATAAGCTCCTCGGTTCGGACCGCAGCTGGAGAATACGGTAAGTGAGATCGTGAAACCGGCACGTGGAAACAAACAGTCTCTAACGTATATGTATAGCTAGCTCTACTTACCAACGCGAACTTCAACAACTGTATCATGTCTATCCCAAAAGCTTCTTGTTAGGCTGATGAAAATTCTGTAGCGTCCAGAGTCTGCGTCTGTTGTCGACTTAGTTATTGTATGTGCAACTAACAGAACATTTGTTGCTGAGCTTTTCTCATAGTAGATTCCACGGTTTGGATCGTAGTCATTGCCATCGCCGATGAACTTGTCGATTTCAATGCCGTACATGCGTCCTGGTTGGACGTAGAACTTGGCTCTGAGTACCAGTGGAGCGTTCTTCACGGCAAAAACCTGTGCAGTGTCCATAGCATCCATGGTATCCCTCTGCGTCCGTGACATTCTCCAAACTCCTAGACCAGAGCAAACCAGGACACACACTGTACGTGCTTTTAAAGAAATGGACTTTTGTCTATATTGACGCTTTGACAATGATATGACCACTCAGTTGAATAATGGTAATGGTTTGCAAATACATGTACTCAGACACATTCCAATCACCAGATCGCTCCCTGTGATGACCGCTAATTTTTGTTGTTGGCGCAGCAGTGCCTCCGTGACAACATGTTCACATGCACGCACACACATGCGTGTGTATGTGCACGTATGTGCATGTTTGTGCGTGCAAGAACTAGTTGGTTTGTTTAACACCTATCTCGGTGTCTCTCACCAACTAGCAGTATTCAGTATCCGGTGTATCTTTTCATTTTTGTTTTGTTTGTCATTCTCCGCCTGACCGCCACAAGTGAATACTGTGGCCTGTGGGTCGCGTCTCAACACAGCTGACCTGGACTTGAAAGTGCAACTATTATTAAAGGGGCACTCCGGCTTCATTTTCGACGCCGAGTTTTCGATGCCAAGACGAAGGTAAGTCAAAGAGAAGACCCCTCAAACAAGAACGAGTCTCCAAAAGCGATCGAGTCGAGCAGGAAGACGACTTTTGAATTTCGCCGAGCGAGCGCTGATGACGTAATGAGGGATTAGCTTGCCAGTGGAAAAGCATCTGCGCACATACATTTCACATACTTTTTGGCCAATTTTAAATGGAAGAGGAGGTTGTTTTCTATGTTCTCTCAACGTCGTGAGCGATCTCGTCTTCTATACCCTTCCAGGTACCGTGATGGTCCTCGAGAGGAGAATTTATCTCCAGCAAAGCGTTGTTGATCCGCTAAATTCGTCTCGAGACATATTCAACCAGTGCAGTGCTGATAAATGTAGAATATTGTATCTGTGATAATTGTCGACGATGGGGAGAGAGGTTGATAGCCGCTGTCGCAGGGAAAGTAAAGCTGCTGGAAGTAACGACGGGGAGCTTGTTAGCATCACGTGAGCATCCAGACTTCAAATTAGCTAGACGGAATCGGGGAGTACTGACTATTTGTCTCGTCCTCAGTTTAGTGAATTTTATGACCAGAAATTATTCGATCAGGATCCCTTCAACAAGATGTGTAGTGTAGTACAGGTGATTTCTGAACTTGACGATATGGAGACGGACCAGTAGACCTATCAACAACGTGTACCTGCAGGAAATTCACCCAAGGCTATTGCTATCCTCTTCAGTGGCTGTTGTTTTTTAGTAAAAATATGTTCACTTCTCTCAACATACTCCTGCATGGCAGCAAGAAGGTGCGCTATGGAATCCAACGCCACAATCTTCGCCCAGCTGTGGATGAAGCATGGTCAAGTCATGGCAGTACATATACTTGAAACAGATGAGAAATTGAAGTTCATTTGTGATGGGAAGTTTGACAGCTTCAGTGACCGGGTCAAGCGTTGTCTTTTGCAGTGGCATAAATTGCTGAAGAATCCGAGATAGTCTTGGAATTATGCTCATGGATACTACCAGAAATAATGGTGGCATGAACCATTGTGGAATAGGACAGCTCATGGAGAATACTGGAATAGCTCAAGTATCTCTAGGTGATTGTAAATCCTGTTCTGGCTGATAGCTTCGGCCTGCTGCTCCCGTCAATGTACAAGGCTGGTAACATGCATTTCTGTTTTAAGTTGTAAGCGATGGCAATCGTTAGAAATAGGTCGGGAGTTGTCAGAGTGCTCCAGTATTATGAGTTGTTTGAACTTGTTTCAGTCGACTTGATTCTAGACAGTAGTCGAAGGAGTACTATGAAGTATACACCAGACGTAGTCCGTAAGGTATCTCGTGAGAATTCTGTCGGTACACATCAGGTATCAGCTTGCAAAGATGGCTCCTCTCTGTTTCTTGAAAGCCTGTCTAGGTGGACTGTGGCTCCAGCGATTCCCTTCTCAGAGCAGATACCATACCCAATACGGTCAATGCATATTGGACAGACCTGTGTGCACAACAGAAATAGTGGAGAGAAATCTCTCAGGTCATAAACACATCAGTGAAATTTGAACTGCCGCTGTTTGTGGCCATCAGTATAAACCTATCGACTATAAGAGTAATGTGCAAAAAAACTCTGTAACTACAGCTATGGCCATGGAGTTATAAAGCATCTAACTTAGGGAACTGCCAATTCTAGTCTGAGTTGCGTTCGAGGCCTGCAATTCATGATGGCTATCGTATGTTGCATTGACCAGAGATCATATAAAACTTCCAAATGCCACATTGAAACACGCACCACTTTCGAGTACTTTGGTATCCCCACCAAATGGGCATTCGTTCCCGGGGTGACAGGCGTCACCATTCGTTATGCCTGGATCAGATTTCATTGACCCCAACTGTCATGAAGGATCATTTTTACATTGACTGGATTTCAGTGCAAGTTGTAGAACTGCAGAATCAATTTTGTTGTATTTGGACAACCATTTCTCTACAAACGCTCTATTTGGAAAATAGAATTTTTTTATAAAATGCATATCCAAATTCCACATCTACCCAAATCGGAATACTTGATCATGTATTCAGTACTACACGGAACGTTTAGAAAACGCCAGGGAAAAGGAATTTGCTAACGAGAACTCCAGGCCAGGGTACTAGCATACGAACAAAACAAGATGAAAACTCACCAGTATTCTTGTAGTTGTAGTAATTCATGTCGGTGTAATATTCACGATAAGCAACGAGGCACCCTCCGATTTGGTCAAGCTGCTTTGAAGTCTGGTTGTTCAGGTGATACAACCGGGCTCCCCGTTGTTACTTCCAGCAGCTTCACTCTCCCTGCGACAGCGGCTATCAGCCTCTCTCTCCATTGTCGACAATTATCACAGATTCAACATTCTTCATTTATTAGCACTGCACTGGGTGAATATGTCTCGAGACGAATTTAGCGGATCAACAACGCTTTGCTGGAGATAAATTCTCCTCTCGAGGACCTTCAGGGTACCTGGAAGGGTAAAGAAGACGGGATCGCTAACGACGTTGAAAGAACATAGAAAACAACCTCCTCTTCGATTGAAAATTGGCCAAAAAGTGTGTGAAATGTATGTGCGCAGGTGCATTTCCACTTTCCGTCTTCTGGAGACTCGTTCTTGTTCGAGGAGTCTTCTCTTTCACCAACCTTCGTTTTGGCATCGAAAACTCGGCGTCGAAAATGAAGCCGGAGTGCCCCTTTAACATTCACAACACCATACTCAATAGCAGCGAAACGGCTAAAGAGGGAGTACGAGTGGAGCGGAGTGTTAGAGCACGCGGACGGCCAGTGTCATTGTGGAGTCGCGACTTGCAGCTGTTCGGCTTGTTAGTCACCCGGAGCTCCGTCAACGCGGGCATGGAGCTAATGCGAGCGCGTGGCCGAGGTTGCGCTGACTGGTTGGCGGCGGCTAGCCGAGCTCGACGACTTGTATACGGCCTCAGTAACGGAGCTGCCACCCAACACCTGAAACGCAACGGCTGCAGAATCTTGGAATGTTCGAGTCTGCCTTGTTCGTTCTGCCAATGTGTCATGCAAGTAATGTCTTCTCCCTGAATGTTCGGAACGTTTTTGCAAATTGTCTGTACATGTGAAAATGGGTTGGCCATCTTTTGTAGCTTTCCACTACGTGGTTCGCGGCTGTAGTTTTTATGGTGGGAGATCTGCGCCAAGCCAATGCTGGATTGTTCAATAGTAGACGCTCTGCAGAGCCTGGGAGCCATTGCCCATGACAGACCAGCATGGCGAGATCTATGCATGAGGGTCTGTGCATTGTGATATTCCGACAGATCCTGAAACAGTCAAACTCAGGAAATAGCACTATCATTATCACTCAGGCTGCAATATTCATATTATGGACATATTCATAAATGACATATCTTCAATACCCATGAGCTACATTGTATATAATATATATGATATAAGTATCATAATTATTATTATCATCGTTCTAGCTCATTTTTTCCCCTGTCATAGTCCTGTTTATCATGTTCAGCATAAGCGAAGTTGTGGATCATGCTTGCATGGTTGACTCCAACGCGTACATGCAGGTGATGATGATACTCAATAGCGAGGACGTTTGTTCTTGGATAGATGTTCCATACCCTCCAGACAGCCGTTTCGCTCATTAAGAGCTCCTCAGTGGAGTTAGATAACGAATGAATAGTAGATAAAGGAATGAGTATATAATTTTATAGGGCCGAGTTTGTCGCTGCTTCTGAGTTATATATTATTATTAGGACATTAGAGGCCACAGAGTCGAAATTTGAACTTGCAATTTATTGTATTATAGTATGTATTCCACACATACCTTCTGGAACACTGTACGGCAACATGCTGATGACAGTAACACTAGCCGTGGCCTTGCCATAGTCCACGGAGCACTGCAACGTGCCTATGCGGACCGGTACCGAACACAGGACCCTTCTGGTTGGCAGCGTGTCATTCGCTGGATCGCTGCAGCCTCCCAGGGTGCAATTGCAGCTCTCGAGTATCTCGGCCGGTGCTGAATGGCTGCAGTTCTGTGGTGTCCCGTCCAGGGTGGCGATCAAGCTGTAGCCGTGCCCAGACACAACGCTACAGAACACTGACGCGCGAGTGGCCGGGCGCACTAGCAGCACTCCATGACTGGGTAGCCATGCGGTGTGTTGGTGTGGGGAAACGATGATACTCATCCTCGGCCGGTGAACTGTACGGGGGGGGGGGGAGTGCAATCACAGGAAAAAAACTCTGATAGGTTCAACAATTAGTTAAGATATGATTATAGTCTGTTTCAAAAAGATTAGCAATCAGGTTTGGTCTTAAAAAGTATGAAGATAAGGGAAAATTGGACAACGAAGTACATAAAAGGGCTGGTTAGGGCACGGCAAATTGTTCTGTGAAGGTTTCGGAACAATTGGACCGGCCGTTAAGGAGTTAGAATTTCGGCCAGGTTTCCGGCCTTTTCCCATGGTTTACAATTTGCCCTGGAAGCCAGTATCGATTTTTCTATCAAAACCCACGATTTATCTTTTCCTTTATGGCCTTGTGGTTATGGATGCTGTCTGCTGACCATGAAGTTGCGATTTCAAATCCCAACCTATCTTCAACTCACACTTTTTTTCATTGTTTTTTTGGTGATCAAGCAGACTTGTTGTTCACGGTTGTTGTTGTTGGAGCTCCCGCTTCCTCTCGAACTGACTGACACTTGACTGGCTCACGCCATGTGAACACACCCTCAACACTGAAACGGTGTGAGTGAATACGGAAGTCATTGCGCTGTAGCTACGTGTTGAATACACCGGCACATCGATCGATCGATTTCTTTTTGAGAATTATTTTAGTATTTCAAGATCGCCAATTTATTTGAATTTAGAAGTCAACGCCATCTTCTATCAGCTTCCACAGGCGTCTGCTTTTCTCAAAATGTTGTCGAAGTCATACGGATAGCTTCGCCAAGTCTTGGGAATGAGTCTGTGTCGATGTCGTTTTCGTCACATGGTGAGAGTAAATTGCATCGCAGCTCAAAGAAACTATTTGGTCACAAAACATATTGGGACCCATGCCGCTCGTCAGCCTTGGCATTTACTACACTTTCGACATATCCTCTCTGACTCCAGTCCATATTCGATACGAGGAAGAACTCGTTTGTTGTGAACCAGACGTCCACGACTGTACCGGCATCGACCTGAGTGAGTTGTCATTTTTCATGCTTTCGCGCGGAATATTTCTTCGAGTTCACAGTGAGTTTTTGCAGGCAGCGCTCGAGCGCTCATACGGTAAGGGCCGTTTCACACGAGGTATACATGGCTTTTCACGAATGGGCGTTCTAGGCACAGTACACAGCGCGTGATTTCACACGAGTGTCGCAACATGCTTTTCAAGCAGCAGTTGCCATGGCAGCTTTGACCTGCCTCGCACAGAAGTCGTAAAATACGGAATCCGCACGCGAACGCGGGAGTTTTGAACACAAAATAATAATAATAATTATTATTAGTTTGGCAAGGAGATGTTCTCTCCCTGATTCTCGTTTTCTTTGATCGCCACAAGGAGAGAAAGATGAACGGACGAGAGAGGTTGCAAAGAATGGCGAGGCGTAGAAGGACTGCATTGCCCTCGCTTGTTCAAAGTGTAATTTCAAGTTTTTCTCTGGATTCAACCATCCTGAGCGGAACGCAGCATTGAGTTTCTCGGCGATCTCCCTTTCCCTCACAATACGCTTCACCATCTGGCCACTTTTTGACTTTTGATAGTCGGCCCACAACTCAATAAGTCTAGCCTCCAGGTCATCAGAGAATATTTGGCGAGGCATTGTCCGAAACGGAAGGCACAACCAGCAACTAGCAATGAAAGCAAACAGAAGCAAAAAAAGCAAACACGACGACAGATCACAATGCAAGGAAAACGAAGTTTGTCAGTAGAACGCTGGGTATATCCTGCTTTCTACACCCCTCCTGGTCTTGCTGAAAACGTACACGATGCGTTTCACATTTCGCGCCAAAAGTGCTCCATCTCCTAGGGAACATAACCGGAAACGTGACATGTACGCGATTTTGTACCTCGTGTGAAACGGCCCTAAGACGGCAAACTCCCCGGGCGTTCACCAGGATTGCTAAACTTTTTGAACCTGACTGTAATCATTCTGCACAACATCACTGCCTGTTATATTGGTCATACTGAACCACCTTGTTCTCCCCGATAGAAAATGAAAGCATGCCTGCCGATCTGTTTTACTGTCTCACTTCACATGCAGGTGTTAGAACTTGATGACAAACACGGATTTCTGCTGCAGGTCTCACATGCTCTCTCGGTTGCGTTAATGGTTTGCAGGACACGGGTACGATGGAGGTGTGCGAAGTACAGAGAGTGGTTCAGAACATGGGTAGCATGAAGGTTTGCAAAGAATGGAGTGCAGAGCATGAGCAGGACAGAGGGGAGGTGTGCAAGGTAGATGTACGTATTACAATGCAGAACACAGGTGTGGGTGGGGGGGGGGGGGGAGAGAGGCGGGCTACAATGCACAGAATAGGGTGCTGGACATCATGGGTGGGGTAGAGTGCGCAATGCACTGAACAGGTAAGATGTGTGCTATGCATCATGCCAATGTATACAGGCAATGCGACGGTTTCCGAGCCTGATCACTGGCAGATCGAGCACCAGTATTTCAAGGGATGCAAGTATTGCACAAGCAAGTGTAACATGTTCTCTACGGGAATGGCTCACCTTCTTGAAATACAAAAAGGAAGGAATAGTACATAAAAAACCAGTTTTGTGTGGGTGAGTTATCGGTGTGGCCATGATAACTACACAGTCATACGGTACACAGTTATTGATGAGACTTTCCAGACCCACCAAGGCACCCCGATGCTTGCTAAGAATTTAGTAAGAAACCTATAGCCGTACTCACTGTGTGCCATCTTCACATGTAATACACGTGCTGTACAATTGGAATGGGCTGTGTTCTTCACATGATCTGGAGAAAGAAACCAGAAAGAACCGTTAACAAATCTGCATGCGATTTGAGCATTTTACCTAAGTTTAAGGGAACAGAAGGCTGCTATTCACTTTGGTACAGCTTGCGCCTCGGAAACCCCAAAGCTGCAGACAGGGCTAGCTGTCTCCGCCAGTGGAGCTTGCTCAGTGCAGGTATGCTCTGCAGAGGATAATAGCTGATAGCTGTGCTGAGAAGAAGCTAAGGAGTTCAAGATTCAGCTTCTTCGTCCTAAGTAATCTCACCATTTTCGTCATGCATCTCCTTGCAGTACTCTCTTTTGTTTCTCTCCTTAGTATTTAATTTTCCGTGGTTGGCTACCACCCAACTTCTAATAAATATTGGCAGTCTTACGACGAGCCAGGAGATGTTGAATAAATAAATAAATCTCACTCTGGTAACACTGATCTTGCTCAAATAATTACGGAGGAAGTCCTGCAAAGCATGAATCAACCCAGGGCAAAGAATATTCTAATTTTTCTGCTACCCAGTAACTACTATTGGTTTGGAACTAAGAAGAGAAAATATTCAGCTCCAGATCTAACTTACACCTGCCCAAGCCAGGAGCCAGAACATATTGCATTGTTTACAGTCAATTTTGCATATAACGACACTCGGCGGGGCATCAGAAAAGTGTCCTTATTCGCGAAGTGTCCGTATACCCGCAGTCTCATTATAATTATGTATTACAGTTAAAATCAGAAAGGAAAAGGACATATGGAAACGAGTTAAGAGTAACTCTCCACCACTGTAACTAGATACTATTATTATACAGTTTGAACCTTCCAAGTTGGAAGGCTGTCGGTTAGCGCTGCGGAGATGTGTTGAAGCTAGGTGTCAGGACGTCGAATGGCTCAGTACTCTGTCAGTTTTGTGCCTAGTTGTTGCACTTTCTGACTGTATAAATGTAGGACTCGGTGAGCAGTCGCGTCTCGATGACCGATCACGATCCCCGTGACCAATCAAACAGTCACAAATCCCCGAAGAGCAGTCATAAAGTCACACACCAGTTTGAATCCCGATGACCAGTCAGAAACAGCCGCGACTTTCTCCGTGAACGGTCACAGGATCCCCGTCAAAATATTACGACTCAACTGTAGGCATTCACGCGATCAGCATACTTTTTTTCCTTCACAGGTTAGAAGTGAGCGAGAAAGATTTCGATCAACTCTCGATCTCCCCGTAGTTTACTTGTAGCTCGAGCCTGGTGTGTGGGCTCCTCTCCAAAACGAAGGGCGGTCGAAAATCTTGCAGGCTTCAGATATAATCTCTTTTGAGAGGACGTTCTGGCTAGTAGATTGTGCTATTCATCATATTTGAAGAACAAACTTCGTCGTTCAGAAAAGCTATTTCGGAATATTTTCAGTCACGTAATTTTTTTGCATGCCGATCTTGCTAGAACGGAGACTGACTTCAACTGATCCAGCATACAAGCAGCACTCGCTTTGTGTTTTTGGAGAGGATGGGTGACAAGATTACGGAGTCAGAAGTGGACATCGTCGACGATGCAGAGACGAAAATATAATGAAGATGGAAATGAAAATATGTTCATCTCCAAGAAGGTACTGACTACTAAGTACATCAAGCACCTTCGTGTGTGTAGCTCTGTCTTTCTTGTGGAAGACTCCACAGAAAGACAATGTCCAGCTTGTTGAAACTGAAACTGCCTCTCAGTTGAAATCGTTCAGGGAAGACATCTATTCAAGACATCATCGATCCATTCTCAAGAACCATCGCAAGAAATTAAATCAAGTCATGTTAGCGATAAGAATGGCGAACTAGACCAGAGAAGTGCGAGTGTCTTGTTTTGACTGCAGGAAACTGTATTTCAATATTGTGGCTCAACGTAGTGCTTACGCAGTTTACTGCTTCGAACACATCTTCATTCCTACTCCCAAAATAACTCTGTAAAATTTATTGATGTAACATTATGGTACATTGTCTTTCTCGTTGTGCTGCTATAACGTGTATTATAAGTACATGCATACGAGTACTGTGTACCGTTTACTGTCTCCTTGTCAGTGTTTTTGGGTGATCCTCCACACCTTCATTTGTCCATTACGTATTTTCCTTTTAATTATGAATTTTATAGAAATATTCACTCGTTACAACTTCTTGTGATTGCTGGTGCGAATGTAGCCTGCGATGCCTGCTTGTTAGTGAGAGTGCACCAGACATGTATCGATATGTATGTCTGACGAGATGTTCTTGAACTGGCATGCTGCTTTGACAAGAACTTTGGTTAGATAAGGTTTAGAATTGGTTGCTCAATGGCCTGTAGGAATTAATCATGTTTGCGATCAGTATCACCAAGAGTACGGTTCTTCCGTTTACGCATCTCTTCTTGGCCTGTGGATTGGTTGAAAAAGAGATAAAATAAGTTCTACCTCCGTAACTTTGTCCGCAAGGTCACGTGACTCTAGCCGGTAGTCCCGCTGCCTATTTGTGTGTGTGTGTGTGTGTGTGTGTGCGCGCGCGTGTGTGAGTGTGTATGTGTGTGTGTTTGTGTGTGTGTGAGTAAGTGTGCACGCGCATGTGTGTGTGTGTTTGTATGCATGCGTGAGAAAGAGAATGTATCATAATGTGTGTGTAAGAGGGAGAGAGTGAGAGAGAGAGAGAGAGAGGGAGAGAGAGAAAGAGAATGTGTGTGTGTGTGTTTGTGTGTGGATGTGTGTGTGTGTGTGTGTGATTTAGAGAATGAATGTGTGTGTGTGAGAGAGAGATTTAGAGAATGAGTGTGTGTGTGCGTGTGTGTGTGTGTGCGCGCGCGCGCGTTTACGCACGTGTGAGTGTATCTGAGAAAAGGGAGAGAGTGTGGGTGTATGTGCATGTAATGGTGTGGGCATGTGTGGATTTGGCATTTAAGTCCCCAGCTCTATTCTCTGTCATTCAGGCTGGAACTGCTGCTGCATGGCCCCAAGTCTGAAGACTTGGCAACTTCACGCCTGCACCTGACTCTTGCGCTATGATACGCATCGCCTATGATACCCCTCAGAATTTTCCACCTTACTCCCCCTTATGTTCAGGCTGCCCGTTTAGGAGCCATCAGTTGCCTGACGATTGTAGTAATACGTGAAACTCAGAGTTGTGACAAAGCTTCCAATCTCTCTTGTAATACAGAAGTACCTATATTCTGCCTGTGACTACTCACAGAGAAAGAGTGGTTGCAACTGTACATTCCGCATGTAACTGTTCGCATGGAGTTATAGTGGTCACAACTGTATTCTGTGACCGCTCATAGGGAATTATAGTTTCCACAACAAATCCTGCAGTACGAAGCACTTTGCGAGCAGTCACGAACTGTGTACTTTACACATGTACATGTATGATGATTTGTGACTGGTCATGGGGCATTGTGACTGGTAAACTAATTTGTGACTGGTCATGGGGGGTTTGTGACTGTTTGATTGGTCACGGGGACCGTGATTGGTGAAGGGGCCTTGACTGGTCACTGAGTCCTACATATACTTCAGTGGTATCTAGTTACAGTGGCGGAGAGTTACTCTTAACTCGTTTTCATATGTCCTTTTCCTTTCTACTTTTATTATTGGCTCCATACCCGAGTATTACAGTTAGATGGGACTTTGCTCTGGGTATAGAAATTCTGTCGTTATTCGCGAATTGGCGTTATATTCGCAGTCGTTATTAGCCAAGTTGACTGTATATGTCAAACTTATGTTCACAGCCTTGAGCCCATCAGACATGTATCTTTGAGCAAACTACACATAACAATAGCCATGTGGTTATATTGAAGCAGCAGTAGTGCCACAGACCTTACCATACTAAGGCAACATTGCCTGTTGGGAAATCCCTAACAAAATAAGAAAAAATAATAATAATAATAATAATAATACAAATTGATGCAACATTTCAATGTGTTTAGATTTGTAGGTGTGTTATTCCATAATCGATTTTTTATTCCCGTAGCTATGCAGAAGACGTTACTTCAGTAACGTCTGGCGCTAGCCAAGGTCCACACAGCTTTAATTTGGTGTGTGTTTGTTTGTTTGTGTCACGACTGGCGCTATCCCGTATCCGTCCCGTACCGTACCGTACCGTACCATCAAACACAGATGCCCACACACAGCTGACCGCAATATTCAAATAGGGCTTTCAAACGCAAGATCATAACGTGAAGCAACTTGGAAGAATGAGTATGAATAAGTGTATGGGGGAATTCATGTAGGGCGATAGTGCGGGTTCGAATCCCGGGTTATGCCTGAAAAAAAATAGGAGAATTGAAAAAATTATAACATCCCTATGCTTTTTTGCCTAGGTCCTCAAGGCGGTAGACGGTGTCGTATTGCCCTCGACCGTACCTGTCCCGTACCTGTCCCGTACCGTACCATCAAAGACGGCTGGCCACAATGCATATTCAAATAGGGCTTTCAAATACAAGATCATAACGTGAAGCAACTTTGAAGAATTAGTATGTATGCGAAGTGTATCGGGGATGCATGCAGGGCGAAAGTGTGGGTTCGAATCCCAGGTTATGTCTTAAAAAAAGGAGAAATTTATAAGAATTTATAACATCGCTATGTTGTTTTGTCTAGGTCGTCAAGGCAAAAAAGCATAGCGTAGGGCCCTGTGCTTCCAAGCTCTCTCGTTTGGTATTTGTTTGTTTGTTTGTTTGTGTCACGCCTGGCTCTATCCCGTATCTGTCCGGTACCGTACCGTACCATCAAACACAGCTTGCCACAAATAGCTGGCCACAATATTTGCTTGCTCCCGTATCTGTCCCGTACCGTACCGTACCATCAAATGTTGTGGAAGTGAAAGTAGGGTGCGGTTTGACATTTTGTGCTCCGAGGATTAGCCTCGAGGTGCGTCTCTCTACAAAACTACCCCTCCCCATTATTGCTTAGAACTAATAGAAGAGACCAACAGTACCAATGGCGACAAACGAAGGCATGGACCTGGCTTTGGTTGGCTATGAGGAGCTCATCAAGATCGGCGAGCAAATGTCTGTGGATAAAGCCTCG